AGATCGATCAATCAATCTTATTTACTGGGTGTAAGCCACAAATATGTTTAAACTATTGAATTTCTCCCAGGAAGCATTACATTTATAAAAGGTATTGTCCTATGGCGGACTAATGAATATTAATAAGTCAGAATGAATTAGGAGAGCTTGGGTATTTGTTTCTAGTTCATCGTTCATTCATATTTACTGGGTGTAAGCCACAAATATGTTTAAACTATTGATATTTCTCCCAGAAAGCACTACATTTATAAAAAATGTATAAATTGTTTATAATAAATCAATTTTCCAGTATGGGCTGATTTATTTTTCTCTGGGCTAAATATGAATGATAAATCTACTAAGTACATAGCAGACCAGGGTATGATCTCATTAATTCTCAGCTCATCCTCAACACCAAACTCCATGACCTGCATCACAATGAATTGAAATCCATGGCAAGTGATCAAATTGATTCTTACAATACTGAATGGACTTATAAATGTAGAATAAACTTTAGGCAGTAATTATCAAAATATCGCTCATAACTGTTACTTTTTAAAGTAGTATTTAGTCAGATATGTAAATTTAGAATATGATGAGATAATGTTGTCATACTTTCACCAAATCTTTTAGAATTTTAATGAATTACAGTATTCTTCAAGTTCAAATTCACATGTTTTAAAATAGTGATTCCAGTAAATGTGCCTGGATACTCAATTCAATTCATTCTATTCAATTAAATTCATTTATTTTCACATTTAAACAAAAAGAATAATTACTATGAGTTAATGATAAATACATAATATATTGAAAGAGAAAATAACAAGTACTGTATACAGAACTGTGTCATATCATCAAGGCTCAAAATACACAGGGGCGACAGGCAATTTGCCCCCGGGAGCTACATAATTGCCTCGGTCTGATTGCTCACGGGGGCGATTACAAAATTAAAAATCGTAAATTTAAAAGAGGAAAAATGCTGACTTATATCAATGATAATGACGGAATAGCAAAGAATTTAGGAGTATCATGGTTACAAATTCAATGGAAATTTGTATTTAAAAAAGAGTCTCTGTGAGAAGGCTCACCGGGGCTCTTTTTTTTGGAGAGCCCCCGTTTACAAAAAATTAATATGAGCCTTGCATATCATACATATCAATCATGAAGCATGACCCACCTTTGTTCTGCTAGCTGTTCTTCTTCCTCTGCTTCTTTCCGAGGATCATAGTTACTCGTCTTCTCCTCCTCGTCTCCTTTCAATCCAAGGTCTTCTTTGAATTTACCAACTTGGTGAGAGAACATAGCCTTCCCCATCATATCCATCCTGAATTCAATCTGCAAGAGATTATAGCAAGAGTCGTTTTACAGCATGATCTACTTAGGACTTATCTACTTAAGTCTACTTGGAACTTATTCTTTAATCTGAGCCTTTTAAGGACTCATCAGAAGTAAGTTTCGTACCCTTCTGTTTATTTTCTCAATTGTCTTTAAGCCTTTTGCAATAAGCGGAACTTGATTCTCCTTCCCTTACCTCACGGTACACTATGTGGACACTGCATGGAAATTTGTTGTGAAATCAGAGCACTCAGGGGCCAGTTTCTTGAAACTATCATAAGTCTAAGTTCATGGACATCCCATAGAAATTTTGAATGGGATGTCTAAGAAGTTAGACTTATGACGGTTTTGAGAAACGGCCCCCAGCATAGTGGTTCAGCCTACCATTTCTCTCCTTTCTTTAGTGAATTTGTGCGACAAACAATCTTCATGGAGAGAATTTGACTATGCTATGATTTCCAACTGTTACAACATCAGTAGACTATTATTAGATACATATGACAGAATACAGTGAATATTTATTGGAAGTAGATCTAGGCCTATACTGTACTCTTTGGGGTTTTGGTTTCAAGTAAGAGCCTACTCTCATCTTGGAATAATAGTCAAAAATCAAAAGCATAATTAATAATACTGATGCTGATGATGATATAACAATATTAATAATAATAATTCAAAATAGATCTAATAACAGTAAATGATAATAATTCTTATTATTCTTTAAACATATTAAAAGTTAAAACTTATTTAGTTATTGTTTATGTAAAGATGGGAAGAAAACCCTGACAATGATGAAACAATAAAACAGTTTTCCTCAAAAGAAACATTGTGTATTCTGTTCACACTAATTTTTTGTCATCAAAGTACATTAATTTATTGTAACTCTGAGATTGCTAGGTGGAGCCTTTCATAAGTTTCATTCAGTTTCTTGCATAGCAGCAAAAAGTAACAATATATTATAAACAGAAAATATTGTCATTATCAAGAATACCTTGCTATAGACTTCTACTAATGAAGGCTAAGCCATGTCATTTAAAATACTTCAAACAAGTTCACACACAGTGTCAGACTGTATCATTTCAGTGACTTCGTCCTGCCCGAAACCCGGGCGGAATTCTACCAGCAGTCGCCATGCCCTAGGCCTCGGCTCGAGTAGAACTCAAAAGTCAAAGCCAAACAAGATTCCATCGCTCTGTCGTACTCGTACATGTTTCTTAGACTTTAATAAGTCAACATATTTTAGACTAACTATTACTTATTATGCCACAGACCAATCTATACAAAAAATCAAGTGGAATCTTACTTGTATGTACGCAACCCCTCTGTCAAGAAATGCCAAGGAAGTTAGAAAAATAACCACTACCACACACACAACATGAACAAGGAATACATGTTTCTAGACTATTCACTCCATAATACAACTCACTGTACTATTTTGTCGCCCTTATTACCGACCGATTGTTCAAGGGACACTGGTAGATGATGGATGGTTGGGGACTATGTCGGGACCATGGGGTGACACTACACGACAACGGAGACAAAAAGAGTTGCCCCAGTATTGTGTTTCTATATCATTTTAAATTTCAGTTCCAAAGTTTAAACCCAACTGGAAAAATTACGTGCCCCCCCCCCTTTTTTTTCCTTATCCGACTCGATCGATCTGGAGTAGGCCTATTGTGGCACAGGCATATAGGCCTCAATTATTATGCAGTGATGTGATCCCGTTGTGATCCTACTTTTCAGTGAAAGTGATTTCTACTTTTAAGCAGGATTAGTCTTAATTTGTTTGACCAGAAAAATCAAGCCGGTTCTTCCTAAAATACGACGCTATTTAGCAAGAACTCAAGATATAATTAGAGATGCAGTCTGGAGAATGGGGAAGTTTAAAATCTTTAAAAAGATGATATCACTTTTTAATTCAATTCAATTCAATTCATTTATTTTTCCTCTTTTTCAATAAATCTAAAATCTCAACCCTTCAACCAGGCGCTGTGAAAAGTTCGGGAAGATCCAGAAGCTATAAGCGTATATACGAGGCGAAGGAAGGTTTTTTTTTATAGATTTTATAAAGTTTCCTCGGATATTTGGGTATTACCACCGCTTCGAATTTGGGGTGAAGGCCATATTTGGGCAGTTTGTGGTTATGGGGGAAGGGTAGGGTCGTAGTCGGTCACTAAACTTAGCTTATAGATTCGGACCTCACTTTCAGGGCCAATTTCTACATTTTCACTACAAAAAGTGTAAATTTTGTGCACGCTCACTATAGCAGAAAATTTAAAGGCTTCATCCTGGCCTCTCTTAAAATTGTTTATGTACGCATATCGGTCAAAGCCACGGTCGTTTCATATATATTAAAAGCCCCTATTGGAGACGGAACTTCCAACACTGACTTCAAAAGTTCAAAGCTTTTTACCGTGGTGCCAGGATCAGTGGCGGATCCAGGGGGGGGCGGGCCCCCTCCCCCTCCTTGAGAAAAAAAATCATGTAAAATCATGTGATTTTTACCTTTTTGGGGGGGTCAATTTTTAAATTTCCGAGGACCAAAAAAAAAAATGTGCTCATTCCCCCCCCCCCCCCCCCCCCCCCCCCCCCCCCCCCCCCCACTGAGCAACTTTTCGCCCGGCGCGATTTTCAATTTTTTTCGGGAGCAAAAAAAAAAAAAAAAGTTAGGCCCCCTCCCCTAAGAAATCCTGGATACGCGCCTGGCCAGGATTATAGGGTCACTCCTAATAATCTGACGAACAAGCACGTAAGAAATAAATATCAAAATAAAAGTGGAGAAAGGTTTTAAAAATACTGAGAAAAAAGTTAATTATCACGGTGTGCTGCATCATTATTCGTTGACCACACCCAAGCACCCGAACCAGAGCACCTCACCACACCCAATCCTAATTCCATGGACAGAGGAGAATATTTGTCGACCTGACAAAAAAAGGTGAATAAGGTCTTTAAGATGCCATGGTCGGGCATGGTCAGGCGCGGATCCAGGATTTCTTAGGGGTGAGGGCCCAAATTTGAAATCACTAAATTTAGTGTGCTGAAATATGAAAATCGTGCCAGCCATTATTTCACTCAGTGGGGGGGGGGGGGGGGGGGGGGGGGGGGGGGGGGGGGGGGGTTGTGAGCACTAATTTTTTTGGGGGGCCTTCAAAAATTTGACAAATTGCGTATGTGTATGAGCGCTAGGGGGGGCGGCCGGGTGCCATCGATTGATTGATTGATTGATTGATTTTTATTCGACAAGCTTCCAACATACAACAATATACAATAATAACAGATCAAAAAAAGTCAGCTTGAACAGGATAACCCACGAAAGAAAGAAAGAAAGGATAACCCACCAAAGAAAGGTAAAATTTACGTTAAAAAATGTAAAAATACACATCCCCCCCCCCCCCCCCCCCCCCCCCCCCCCCCCCCCCCCCCCCCCCCTGGATCCGCCACTGGGCATGGTTACACCAGGGATCTGTAAAAGTCGCAGCTCCCTGCTTAAAAGGTTTTAGGAACCCCTGGCCCCTGCCGACATCGACAACTCGTTCGCAAAAAAAAAATTTGTGCTAGGAGCGAGGAGGCGAATTGAGAATGGGACGATCATTCAACTAGGTTCTAGACAACGTTAATGATTTGTCCAAAAACTTTCGGGATCTCGCGTGTAATCTTTCGGAGCTTGGAAGCTGTCTCGTTTAAATCGGGGATGCAGTGCTTGTACGATATTTTCATGTGATTGCTGTCCTGTAGTTTATGGAGTTTTTGGTGAAACAAAAGAACAGACTTCGCCGCAGTGGTACCGTTTCTACATATCGGTCCCACTAATATAATATTTTGTTGGAAAAATTGAATTGAGGATTCTGAAAATCAAACGTCACTCGGAGCACTGTTGGGAAGTCAAACTTTAAAAATGGCATTGTCTAAGAGAGATTTAGACGAGCTGCGGCCAGTCGTGCAGTCATCAGTTTTAAAAGTGCTTGGAATCAATGAACCAAGTGTGGTTATTGCTGCTGTTAATTGCATTGGCCAGAGAATGTCCAAGACAAAAACTGTCGGTAAGGAAGAGCTCCATTTTGTAAAATATTTGTGATGTAGATCTAGTCTAGACCTAACTCACCTAAGACTAAGTTTTAATCATTTCATTAGTACTTGGGGCTTTGGCTTTGTTACTTAGACTTCGTCTGTTGGAAACATCACAGATTCTAATTTCTATTTTCACGAAGGAATAACGTCATCTAGACTGTAAATTTATGTTTAGGGGATTGCTAGATGGGGATGAATATGAAGGGTGTTGTCGATAATTATTTTGTTATTGTAACAGTGGGTGTAGCTTAATCTAGAAAGTAAATTTAAGTTGGATCTATCTAACCAAGAATGGCAAGATAGATCCTCCTTATCAAAGTTTGATATAAATTATAATTATGATTCTATATAAATATTTTATCATGCATAAGTTTTCTCATTTCTTGTTTGTTTGCTCACTTTAGATATGTTAAAACCCTTGCTGGAAGATTCTGCTGAGAGGTTTGTGGAGACTCTTTTTGTTGATGTAGCAGGTTTTCAAGTAGGAAATAGAGCTTCCAAGAGAACCACCAAAGAGGATGATTGTTACGAGGGACACAAGAAACGATCCAAACTCTCTCACTTCCCAGGTGAAGAGGAGAATGGAGTCAAGGTAAAAAGGAAAGATGGTGCATTCACCATAATTACTATTTCGCTGTTAATTACAGTTAATGAAACATTGAACAAATAAACAAAACAGAGATAGCCCATTGTTAGACAGCCCTTAAAGAGAGGTATTAAAGCACAAATTGCATATGACCAGATATAATTGATTCTCAAGCAAAATCCGAACAGCTGCCAATGTGCAATGACTAAAGTAAATTTGCACCGCTGGAGGATTTGGGTAATTTAACAATGAGCATTAGGAAGCATAAACGTTAATACTAAATCAAGTGCAGCTGAATTCTTAAGATTGAGATTACAGATGTAATGATAAAGTTGCCTTATTAGCCTCCATAGTTTAAGGCATCGAATTACAACAGTTGCACATTTTCATGGGCTTTGTAAATGTATGTTTGTGTTTAGGCCATTAAAACTCCTGTATATAAGAACATGTTTTAATGGGTCGTCAGTGATCTTAGACTTATTACTGTTTTGAGAAACTGGCCCCAAATGCCTAGGAGAACATAATTTTTGGGATATATTGGGTTATATTTTCTTAATACGAAGCACTCACAATTTATAATTAGCTGGTGTACTTACTTATCAGTCCCCCCTAAATGTATCCTTATCGGTACAAATTGACTGAAATATTTCTCCCTCTGACCCCAGTTTGCCAAGAGTCAGCCAGAGGCCTTGAGGAATGATGCCCTGGAGAAGGCCAAAAAAGCAGCTGAGATTCAAGCCCGCATACAGGCAACCATGATGAGTGCTGGGTTAGGAGGTCTGAAGCTACCACCCATGCCTGGGATTCCCCAAGCACCTGCGATACCTAAAGTACCAGCTACTAAGGAAGATATCAACGATATGAAATCACCCCCTTCTGTTCTTACAAAGTGAGAAAACATTCTACTATTCATCAGTCGAGTCTTTTATCTTCCAAATGTAACTCTATTTGCTGTTGTTAGTGTTGATGCCATTGTTGTTGTTTATCTTTTTTTTAAAGCTTATGAATGATTGATAAGTCCAGAGGAATAAAACGGTTTCTCAATCCTTTAGAATAAACCTTTGTTTATCTTTTCCTCAAAGCTAAATGTGAATAATTGATTGATAAGTCCAAAGGAATGAAACATTTTTGGATCCTTTATCCACGTAAGTGTAAGGTTTTTATGTGAAGCCTGATATGTTATTTATCTTTTTTTTGCCCCAGACCAGCGCCTTTGATTCTGGATGAACAAGGAAGAACAATTGATAAATCGGGACGTGTTATCATACTGCCTCAACACAGACCAACGATTAAGGTATACGGTAGATGCTGAAGTAACTTTGCATTTTATCTTTGATATGTTTCACTTAAATATAAGATCAAATTAATATTGATAATATGTATGTTATCTCCTTGTCAAATAAAACAGAGAAAATGCACAGAGAGAGTTTGGAATAAGAGGAAGATGTGAGGATGTCTTTCAATTTAGTTTTCATGCAGAAAAAAAACAAGACCTTGCATTTTATGGAGATGTATACAATAGAGAAGACATTGTGTTTAGGAAACTTTGTGTGATTCACTGCAATTCTTCATGATTTGTTAATTCTGATTTACTTCTGGATTGGGTCATTGATAAGTGATAGATAGTGACTTTAGTAAGTTAATGTACCTGCAAGAGCTTATGTAGTGTTTAAACAATTTTAATGCCATAATTGTACTCTGAAGAAGAGAAATATGAAGGCTTTACATGCTGATGTATTCTTTTCAAGCCATGTGCCTATGATGGTAAACAAATGATCTAAATTGCTGCAGTACTTAAGGATTCCTGCCAAACTATTCTAACCTGTCAGTACGTTTGCAATGATCAACATTTCGTAGACTACAAAAATTATTATAAACGAACATTTTCATGTGTTTTACTTTTTAGGTATTCACTTCTAATACCATTTTCCTTCTCCAATTTATATTTAGGCAAACATCCGAGCCAAACGGAGAGAAGAATTCAAGGTCAATCAGCAGGAGAAACCACAGGACCTCTCTGCAGACTCTAACAAGTTCTTTGACCCACGGGTAGTGCCTGTAGTCGGTAGAGGGAACAGAAAGTCATTCAAGTTTCATGACCAGGGCAAATTTGAACAGGTTGCACAGAGGATAAGGGCAAAGGTGGGTTTGCCTCAATTTTTGTTTTTTCGTAGAATGGAGTCTGTATACTCTACTGAATTCTGATTGGGTCAATATCAGGGGGAAGTCCCCAGGAAGTGAAAGGTATGAAATGCTAAATTGATTCTTGAAAGGAAGCTGTGTAATGAGAGGGAAAAATGGACAAGACAGCTGGAGAAATCATTATGATTAAAAAATACATGGGTTATTAAACTCTTGCTGGCATACCATCATTTTTCATGCGAATGTCTTTGAAAGCATGAAAAAATATCTATCATTGGTCTTGCTTGGGCACATATCTACCTGTTGGAGCATTTGGTTTATCTGAATGAAAACACTCAAACAGTCTTTTTATCGCAAACTCTCGAAAAAAAATTCTTCTGATATGGCTAAACCTGATTCTAGGTGTACCTGTCAGTCATGGTCAACAAAGGAAAAACCTTGGTCTAATTAAATGTCTTCTTCTTTATGTGCCATGTCCTGAGACGTTGGCGACCATGGACTGCCACAACTTTCTGTCCCATATTCTATACCCATCCACATAATCCTCCTTCTACCCCTACTCCTCCTCCCCTCAATTCTTCCAGTCAGTGAAAATTTTTCCAAACCATTATTTCGAATAACATGACCCAAGAAGCTCAGCTGTCGACCTCTTATATTATTCAGAAGCTTTCGTCTTGTTCCTGCCATGGCAAATACCTCATTATTTGAAACTCTTTCTGTCCATGAAATTCATAGCATCCTTCTCAGGAACCAAACTTCACAAATTTCCAGTCGCTTAAATGTACTTTTGGTAAACTCAATTGTATACCTTACTTATTAGCCCCAGCACTGGTTGTAAATTTAAATAGAATATGAGCTACAATATTTTTCAAATATGGCATTTCTACTATGCACACCTATATACATGTATGCTTCTTACATTGACTCATGGTATTTCCCTTTGCAATCTATTCCAGTCACAACTAGAGAAGCTTCAGAATGAGATCTCTCAGGCAGCTAAGAAGACTGGAATCACATCAGCAACCAAACTAGCCTTGATCACACCCAAGAGAGAATTGGTAAGAACAATTAGACAAAATCAGATCTGTAGCTATGAAGGCTGTGCATAACCGTGTAATGAGGTACTCGAGTACACTCCCAGGCTTTCAGGCGACTACTCGAATACTCCGGCTACGATAACCCACACTATTTTACTGCAAGTTGCAATTGAAGGCGCCGATTTGTGCTTGTGAACTTCTCACAAATAATAATAACTATGTTGTTTTAAAAACTAAAGATGACAGACAAATTATCCTCCAAGTTCAAACAGAAATCTGGACATTGGCAGCTAGTTTGGTCCTAGTTTCTGAGTGGTGAGTTGACAGTGACACCCATGTATGATTGAGCTGGGAAACAATTTTACTCACGGTACCCTGCCGGTGCTTATCCGGGCACAGGTGAGCTTCGGCCGGCCCGCATACTGCCAGGTAGAGAAAAAAAAATCAGCAAAAAAAAAAAAAAATGCCGGCCGTGTATTCGAGTACGACAAAATCGTACTCGAGTAGTTGTCAACTGTGCGAGTACTCGTCGCAGCCTTAGTAGCTATATCAAACAACTCTCAACTCTAAAGAGTTAAAGATGCAGAAAATATTACAAGGTCTTCCTTTGAATGCTTTGAATCATTATCAGGCACAGACTGATGTTTTCGCACTGCCCCTGCAATTGAAGTTATATACTTTAAAACAAAAAAGAATATTAACTTGTGTTCATTAAATGAATCTGTTTAAAATTAAGTTATTGTTTCTTTGCTGTATTGGTAGTAACACTGTATATCCCTGTACATTTTTGGACCATGCATCGGGAATGCAATGCATGTCAATCCGGACTGCCCAGAAGGCTTTTGTTCTTTTCCTTTTTCTTCTTTTTTTAGTGTGACGATTCCCCTTAAATCAGATATAAACCTAACATTAGTCTCATTTTCTTCAGAATTAAAAGTGTCATTACTGTAAGTTTTAGGAGTAGATTTTCTGAGTCTGAAACAAAATTAAGTAATATTGTGAATCGTGTCCGGCTTTCCAGGAATTAATAGCATTTTATTCTACTTTTTTGACGTAATAATTTTTGTAATAACTTTTAGCTTTTATGGAAATCACATCGGGACCATAAAGGAAAAACTTTGAGAAACCCTTGTTTAAATTTTTTACTCGTTTGTTGCCCTACTGTATTACTTGCTAATTCTTTCATATGATAGTTGTCTGTCCTTAAAAATCCTTAAAAAATACATTCTCTGTTTATCTCCTCCTCCCTCCATTTAGAAAGAGAATGAAATACCGGGTGTTGAATGGTGGGATAGTTTCATCCTTCCTACAGAGACATATGCAGATGTGAGCAAAGGTACCACTCAGGCTAGTGGAACAGATAAATTAGTAGGCATCACTAATTTGGTAGAGCATCCCATTCAAATCGAACCTCCAGGTAAGATAGCGTCACTTGTTATGCCTCCGCCACCGAAGGTGGTGCCGGAGGCATCATGTTTTCGGGTTGTCCGTCCGTCTGTATGTCCGTCCGTACGTCCGTCCCGTTTGACCGTTATCACAATATCTCAAGAACCATTTAAGATTTAAACTTAAGACTCGGGAATAGTATTTTTCACCATAGGAAGACGATCTGATTAGATTTTGGAGTACGTAGGTCAAAGGTCACAGGTCACAGAGGTCAACTTATGAAATTCCTTGTATTGAGTTTGTTAGCGCGATATCTCAAGAACCATTTGAGATTTAAACTTCAAACTTAAGGATAGTATGTATCACCATAGGAAGACGATCTGATTAGATTTTGGAGCACGTATGTCAAAGGTCAAGGGTCACAGAGGTCAACTTATGAAATTCCATACATTGAGATTGTTATCATGATATCTCAAGAACCACTGGAGATTTAAAAACTTCAAACTTAAGGATAGTATGTATCACCATAGGAAGACGATCTGATTAGATTTTGGAGCACGTAGGTCAAAGGTCAAGGGTCACAGAGGTCAACTTATGAAATTCCATACATTGAGATTGTTATCATAATATCTCAAGAACCACTGGAGATTTAAACTTCAAACTTAATGATAGTGTGTATCACCATAGGAAGACAATCTGATTAGATTTTGGAGCACGTAGGTCAAAGGTCAAGGGTCACAGAGGTCAACTTATGAAATTCCATACATTGAGATTGTTATCATGATATCTCAAGAACCACTGGAGATTTAAACTCCAAACTTGTTTAAATTGCTCTATGGCGGAGGCATTATTTTCGACTGCACGCAGTCAAAATTCCATCTAGTTTTAGTCTCGTTCTAGTACCTGCAAAATAACAAGTTTAGAGAGATACCACCTAGTCTGTTGTTAAAGAAATAGACATGAGTTGTTTTGTTTATATTGAACCCCAAGCTATATAAGGTAACATTGAATGGAATACACATATATCCCATGAATTGATGGGAATATACCAAGAGTCAGCATGACAAGTGAAATATTTTCATAGCGAATGTAATGTACCCTTTTTTATCAATTAAGCAAAACCTATTCAGTATTATCAACAATTATATAAAAATCTAGTACCTCAACCCATGTGTTTTTGTATCAACTTCAACATTAAAAAAAGGGAGCAAAATATATTTTGCCCTTACCCAAGCATTTGGTAATGGCTGTGCGCATACATCTACTGTCCTAGCCTAGGCGCATTTATAAAATGCGTTCACGCACCCCAAAGAAAAATATTGGATGGTCATCAGGGTACTTTTGCACAAAGTCTAAGATGCACGAATAGTACTGGTTTCCAATGCAAATAATAATACATAATACTATGTAAAATAATTCATGTGATGTATTGTACCTTTGTTGAGACAAGATGAATATGGCATTAATAATTGCAGATCTCCAAAAAAAAATGAAGCTTTACCATGTTGATAAAGTAGCTACATGTAGTCCACTTTTCAGATGATACTAGAAGTGACTAAACAAGATAAAATACTGTGCAATAATCTTCTGTACGATTATATTGACCGTTTCAGGTGGACTGTCATTTATCCACCAATATAAAAGAAAATATTCCTTTAAGATATCCCTTTAAAATATGGAGAGGTGATGATTTAGTTAAGAACTTGGAAGTAAATGACTTGTAAACCTATAGTTCTCAGGCAAATGATAAACCTCATGTTTGTTTCATTAATGTACAGCTGAGAAGAAAGATGTTGAGCTTCCTATTTATCTGACAAAGAAGGAGATGAAGAAACTGAGGAGACAGAGGAGGAGAGAAGCATTAAAAGAAACGACAGAAAAGATTAGAATGGGCCTTGAACCACCACCAGAACCAAAAGGTAATACTTCAATTTAATTAAATTCCAATAAAATATACAAAACAGAATACAATTATGACAGAATAACAGTATAAATCCATCAAGAGTACAACATAAGGAAAAAATGATAAAATAATAAAGCAATACAAGATGGAGCATTATCACATACTTGAATTTTGTTGTCACCATTACATTATGGTTGTTCTTTTGTTGTTGCTAGATGAGTATGATATCTACAGTTGACATACTATTTGTCATTTTGTAGATACAGTCTCCACATGAACAGATAAGGGAAATTCCCTATAGGTCAACCAGATGATTAGACAATAGCTTATCCTTCATCATTCTTTAGAAATAATCATTAAACAAAGTTTGCAAAGTTATTGTTCACTGTCAATCAGTGAGTACTAAGTACCCCTACAAGGAGGGTAAAAGTTAGAATAATAACTCTATTCTGTTGGACATCAATTTTGTTCTTTCTGGTATTTTTTTAAAGCCCCACTGCACTACTTATAGCTACTTGCACCCTCTATGTAGCAGTCAATTTCTAATTGGTAACCGTTGGTCCCCCATGGTCCCCTTTTTCTTATGTTAATTGAGAGCTTATTTGATGAGATAACTACCTGTTAGTGACCATGCAGGGAGGTCTAATCCCTCCTGGCCTAACTAGTGCAGATAGGCTTTAAATTGTGTACAGTATTTGTCTTGTAACTCTAGAGATATGTTTTTTCTTTTTATCTTGCACAGTACGCATGGCAAACCTGATGAGAGTATTGGGTACAGAGGCTGTCCAGGATCCTACTAAAGTAGAAGCACATGTCAGGGCACAGATGGAGAAAAGACAAAGGTATGGACTTGATTCATTCATCGGATAGTGGAGTTCGAATCCCCACTGAACTACTTGTAGCTACTTGCTCCCTCTATATAGAAAACAATGCCTACGTGGTACCTGTTGATCCCCCCCCATGATCCTCTTTTTCTTATGTTAATTGAGAGCCGAGTTGATGAGATAACCAACTATCAATCCCTCCTGGACAAACTAGTTCAGACAGGCTTTAAAATCTTTACTTTAAGACTTGGATTCAATGGTCCTACTAAAGCAAACTACAAGACGAAAACAGTCTCGTGCAAAAGCTGACGAGAATTTTAATGAACCAATCTTGAAATGCAAAATTCAAAGGAATCTGGCATGATAGATGAAATTCGTTTTAATGCACTTGGGTATAATAATAATAATAATAACATTTTGCTTTTATATAGCCCTTAATACATCTATGATGTCTCTAAGCGTTTAAAGATATACTATTACCCCACTCATATCAGAGCTTCAATAACAGCAACCAGTACTTCTTTTTTGTTTTATTGCTGATAACTTGATGTCTCTTCTCTGTTCGCTAGGACACATGAGGAAACAAATGCAGCGCGGAAGCTGACTACAGAGCAACGGAAGGAGAAGAAGGAACGCAAGATGAGAGAGGACACCTCGACGGGCGTCACCGTGAATGTGTACCGGGTATTGAACCTCAACAACCCAGCTAAACGCTTCAAGGTCGAAGCCAACGCCAAGCAGCTTCAGATGACGGGCATAGCTGTGGTCCACAAGGATATGAATTGTGTTGTGGTAGAAGGGGGTAAGTATTCATCCAAATCTGAAGAGTATTTAAATGGAAGAAAGATAAGAGGATCAGTTTTCGAATAAAGGATTTGTTGACAAGTGAGGATCCAGGGTAGAATTTTAGTTGTGTATAACACCCAAATACAACTTTTACCAAGGTTAAGTACAATTTTAGGAATAATCATTTAAAAAAGAAACACTGGTTTGCTATTATTCAAGCCCTGATATTCATATTAGCTTCATGCTTTTAGGGATTTTCGCCCCCTTCCTAGATAACCTAAATATTTATTTCATGATATGTACTTTTTGTTTTTGTGCAGGAAATATATTCATTGGTTTGAAGTGAATTGAATATCTATCGGATCTCATACATTGCAGAGATTGAAAACCTTCTGTAATCTGACCGCACATGAAATTGTCAATATTTTTGCTAAAGCCTCGGTCACAAATGCCATTATGAACTGCTACGAACGCCGCACGTACGATTTTCAGACAATGGAAATTCGGGAAGACAATGGAAAAACAGGGAGATTCGTACAAAATTATCGTTCGTACAAACCTTTGTGACCGTAGCATAACTATGTACTGTGTTCTATTTTTCAGGACCAAAGCAGCAGAAAAAATTCCAGCGGTTGATGTTGCACAGGATCAAATGGGGGGAGGATAAAAGGAGCAAACATGATGGTGAGTTTGAGAAGCACATTTAAGTATATTTCGCCCCCCCCCCCTCCCTCCCTTCTGTTAAGCAATGGGAGATGTTTCGATTGAGTAACTGATGTGCTGTTGAAGTGTAAAAGTTTTAGTTCTTTTGAGATAACTACTTATCAGTATTTTACTCCTTTTGTGGCATGAGTGGCAAAGTTTAAGAGATAGTTACAGTATGATGTAAAGTCTCTGCAAGATGTTTTATGCCAACATTCATTTAGGATTGTTGTCTAAAAAAGGCTCAGAAGGAGTTTGAACCATCAAGGATAGCCCAGTTTTCACAAACTCTTTGACAATAATTGCATTTATGAAGTATGACAAATTCAAATGAAAAGATGTTATAAATTTTTGATCACCAGTTATGTTATTCTTGGGCTACTTCAATTGTAGTATTGCTTCAGAGGTAGTGTTTAAGTAGTCACCCCAAGAAAATTCACGATAACTGAAAATTTTGGACAAATTATATATGAATGGAAAGATTTTCTCTTGAAAAACATGAATAATTTGCTGAAAAATCATATACGGTAGATATCATGGATAGGCGTAAAATGCAATTTTTTGGCTAGCTGAGTCTCGCATGTGACATCACGAATCTTGACGCTATACGGAGGACCGCTGAAGGCAGAAAATCTGGATCTCAAAATTAACATTTTTGAGAGATGATTACTGCAGCCCAAAAAAATATTTTGAAGAGGGAAGTTGTTATATTTGATCAGTAAGGCTTCCCCTTTGCATTGATATGAATTCTGCATCAATTCAAAACACTTTTGATTATTTGGGTGACTACTTTAATGAACTAATAGTGTTTCAATGATAGAATATATACATGGGAGTTTCTATGGAAATGTATGTCTTCCGTTCAGATGATGACTCTGGAGACGAAGCGGTCAAGTCCAACCACTGTCAGCTGATGTGGTCAGGGATGATCAAACAACGCAACTTCAGTGACCTTCACTTCAAGCTGTGCCCAACCGAAGCGATGGCCAGAGAACAGTTTAAGAAGCACAACGTGGAACACTACTGGGGCCTTGTTCACAGTCAGAGCGTCCTGGATTCTACAGACACATGATCGACAACAGTTTGTAAAAATCAGTCATCAAAGCAAAATGTCGGTATTTTTGTCTCTTTTCAAATGTGAATGTTATTTTTTGAAGTTTTTAATTGTTTTATGAAGCCTTTTTTTTGCTCTAAAGCTTTAAGTTTTTTAAAAGTAAACTTATGAAAAGAGCAAGCATGAATATTTTCCTGTGAGGTAGGAATGAGAGCATCTTCTTACTCACTAGCAAGTACATCTTCTACTAGATAATGGCAAATCAATCGAGATTTACTCTTTGATTGCTATGTAACTGAATGTTTCTTTTAAAATGTAATTTCGCTTGAGTTTCTTATATCACATGCTATTGGAAACTGATTTGATTTGCTTTGCATAGGCAAAATAGTCAAATGAATCATTGCACATATTATGAATTCAAACAAGGGAATGCAAACAAAAAATATTAAAATCTAATATGGTATGCCTTCAAAATCAGCTAAGGAACACACAATTTCAAAATGTCAGATCACATAAACTTCTCACCAATAATGCAAGCTTGGTTATTGGTACTACTACTGATAAGATGATTTTATTTATGGTGAAAGCCACAAAATTACTTTATTATCAGTGCAATCTACTTTCACCTTTGACCTTCATAAATTGGTAGGTCAAAAAAAGGAATTTCGGTTGAACATTGGATTGTCTGAACATTATTGATTTCTTGTTTTGTTCCACTCTAAAAAATCCAAAAGTTGAAGTAGTGTTCCATGAAAGGATGAAAGTTATCCAGAGACGATGTGATCCCATTTTGAGATTGTGTTTCATTGTATCTTAGAGCAAAGGTACTTTCATGCTTTATTGCTGTTTCTGTTTCTATCTCTCAAGCCAATGGAGATATATGAATCTACAGCAGTTGAGGCAGGCAGGCCACAGGATAAAGCCGACACTCCTCTGGTAACGAGTCTTATCTGCTATTAAGTCAAGTCTAAGTATGTTATCCATGTTAATGTTTTGGACATTTTCTATGTCTGCATCAATGAAGGTGGTGCTGTATTGCATGTCTGTGGTCTTTTGGTTTTAAGGTGTTGATCTTTCAAACCTTTTAGAATTCTTGATAAGATCAAAACCAGAGCAAGCTGATTAAAAAAGAAAAAGTTTGAAGAATTACTAAGCTTATAATTTTGGTGTACTTATACCATGGGTTAGAATGTTACTGACCCACAAACAGATGTATGAGTTGATGAACAGAAAGGGTAGAATACCTTTTTGTGTTGAAAAAACAAGTGATTTTTACAGAAAACATGTTCCTTATTTCTTTTATCTTATCATCAGGCTCTTCCTTTCGATTGATGTTTTTCATTTGAAGGGAAGAGCATATTTGTAATGATCAGACTTGTCTGGTAAATACCCATGTGATGTTTTGTTTTGTCTATATGGCAAGATTTTTATACTTCTTTTCCTGGAATGAATGATGCAAATTCAAAAAAGGTACTTTAGCTTACTTAAATATCAGTTGACAATGATAGTAATTCCTTTCCCCTTTCTCTCTAAGCGTAAAGTATCAACTTAACAACCATGATTATTCCAAATGTTGCTTTTTTCATTGATTATATACATACATGTATATATATATATATTATATGTATATATTTTTACATATATTCATCTGAAACGACAACATGCAAAGTTGATAAGATATTGTTATCTTCTTCTTTTTTGTTGGGGGGGGGGGGGGGGGGGGGGGATGGTTGGTCAATAATTTTGGTTGTAAACGCCCTGATCAAGTACAATGTATATGGAAACTAGTTCAAGCGATTTATGTCACTAATGGGAGTAGGTGTCAAGGTGCATTACAACAGATTTTAAAAAATGGAGGAGTACTCTCTTTTAATACATACAACTGTAAAACATGTAGTGCAAGATGTGATTGTACATTACTTTGGAATTGTGGCAAGATTACACCAGAGAGGAAATATTGATTTTTTTTTTTTTTTTTTAATATCTTAAAGACATGTATATCATAATTGGTTTAACAACTGTAGCAATATTGTGGATCGTACAAACATTTATCCTCAAATGTATGCTAATAGGTTAATAGTGTTTCTCTGAACCAATTTAAGCTTGTAAGCATACAACAAAGAAGTGATGTGAAGCAGTAAGAGCAGTTTTGTTTGATTTTTCAAATCAAGGTTTAAAAGGCTTTCCTGGAAATGGGCATTGCTTTGATAAACTTGGTCTTGCTCCTAATATGGTATTTTTGACAATAGTCTAGTACCATCTGCTACAACATTTGTGTAAGACATCAAAATCGTTTATGGAGTAATGAAGCTGGAAATTTGAGATGCTTTGAAATATATACCCAGGTGCTTGCCCCGATTCTTGTAGCAATGTACATGACATAAAGAAATCAGGTATGCCTTGAAGTGTTTTTGTTTTGATTTTGTTTCTCCAGTTGGAATCAAATGATCTCATCTCTCCTAACTCAACCCATCAATACAACGTGTAAGGTAGGTATCATCATTGTGATGATGTAAACAAAATGTGTATGCCGATTACAAATGTATTAACGATATAGAACCAGGATGATGCATGCATTATCTTCTGTTTTATTCTTTGATTGCTCTTCTGGTTGTTTTTTGGTTGGGGCAACCTGTAGGAAACAAAGATAGCATGCTTCCTTCTATCTTGCTGCCCACTAATGTGTGGTATACTTATGGATCTATACAGCAATGTAGTTCTGTAGGCCTTTCCCACTCTGGATCAGCACCTTTAGAAAGAGTCCTTATTTAAATTTTATGGGTTCTTCTTATTTTGGCAGATTATTCTTGTTATGAATTTGTCAAGATATTGCATCATTACGCGAGTTTACAAACAAGCAAAATGTCAGATTTGTTATCTGTTGATTTCTAATTACTTGATATGTGAAGAAAAGGGTAGTAAATCCAACTTCACTCTTTCAGGGTTTTTCTAACAGATTGTTATGACATCATTTGAAATGTACAATTGTATTTTTATTTAGATCATTCTTAGAACTAAATTGATTATTCTAGGACATGTGTTCAGTTCTATTCAGTGTAAAAACGAGAAGAAACACTACAATGTCAAGCAGCATACCTTACCCTCCTTTATACATAAGCTGCACATATTTTATCCCATTTGATAGTAGTGTATGCGAAGATTAAAATTTTTACTTTTTATTGTGACAACAGTCTCATCTTATCCATGTTTTTTTTTTATGATTGTACAGAGCACTGGAGGAATGTTTGTCATAAAGAGTACAGCCCTAACATTTGCTAGAGTTTCTGTTTGGATATGATACTTATGTTTTGTAATTTTGCTTTGATATGTTTGTATGCAAAGTTCCAAAATATCTCTTATGTGAAAGGAGGATCAAAATAAAACTTGTAAATACCATCTGAAATAACAAATTGTGAGATCATTGTTTTATTGCCTTCCTCATGAAAGTATATCGGGCCTTTTCTCATTATGATATCATTACATGTATATCTTATATATGCTCCTGTTCTTCTTTCTTCTTCAGCCATATTATGTCACCTTATGTATCTATCTTTCCATCTCTTTATCTTTTTCTTTTATCCTTTTTCATTCAATCTCTTTCTCTTTGCATGTATCTTTAGTGTTGTCTCTTTCAATTTATTTTAATTCTCTCTCTCTTTCTCTCTGTGACACTTTCTTTCATCTCATTCTTGTTTTTGTTTTTGATATGTATATCACATACTTGTATATAAGAAAATTGTTCAACAATTATTCTTTTTTATCAAAACAACTTTAATAGATTATTTTAGCACAAATTATGAGTGACATATGAGAAATCTATACAGACATAAGCCCTTTGTACTTTGAACACTGTTCAGCATCAACAATCAAGACAATGGATATTTTTGTGTTTAAAGACCATATCCAAACTGAAAAATAAAATGTGATGAATTATATATCAACGGACAGCTTATAAGCCATAGATTACAATAATATTGATTTTTCTAAGATGCACTTTAATAGTTGCTTTAGAAGAAGCAAATCTTAATATTTAAAATCAACTTGCATGAATTTATTCGCAAGCCTTGAATTAGTGTCTGTATCCAATAATAATGATAATGATAATAATAACATGTCCTGTTTACACAGGGTAGCCTCTTCAGTATTAATACTGTTCTTCCCGAGGGCCCTTCAATCATAATATTACCCTGGCTTTAGCCAAGCTACCACGAAAAGGCGCTCGGGCATTCAGGGAATTTCTTACCAATTCTACCCATTTACCTCACCTGGGTAGAGGGTGGCAAATGTTGATTAATATCAAAAGATGTTAGTGCTGCCGCAGCACTCTAACCATTCACCATGTGATCCACAGTCCAGTGATGTTTCCACTTGACCACGACATCACGACACCAATATGCCATTGTAATATGTTAAATTTGTTAAGCATGTATCTTAATACCTGAATGCAAGGCAAAGGCAAACAGAGGTCCCTCTAGAGGTGAAGTTGTTGGAACCAATGGAACGAATGAGGGCATCTTCAGGTCAAGTTGGTGTTGTCAGGACCATCATTAAATCACTTTTGTCAGCAGATCATTGACAGGAACATAGTGGGGCTCATACACCTCAAACAGTTACAGAAGCCAGTTTGCAATTTTCAGCACACTTCTGAAAAAACTTCCTTTAAATATATTGCAAATATGAGTACAGTTCAGTCCAGATGTCCCATGGTCATTTAATACTGTTATTGATGTACTGGACAAACATGTTTGCAAGCATGGAGATATCTTCTATTGCATGTAGCTTGGTGTAGGTGATGAACTGCCTTCTTATCCTCTGTAACTCAGCATTGTTGATAGATCTTGCTAGATGAACGTATACATACCATGGTTAAGGATGATGAACAAAAAATACACTCAATACACTACGATTGACAGATTAAAGGGAGATTGTAGTCGGTTTCTAAGTGCAGAAGGTTTTTATTCGCTGACACCAGACTTGGTGGAAATACCATTAGGCCTTAAAAAAAAGATGTTGTATTGCCCTTTGCGACCGACCAAAAAAATCTTGAAATCTACTGTCGGCTTTTTTTAAAAGTTTTTTTTTTTACCGTTTTTTAGAGAAAAAAATGAATTAAAGCATTCTAAACTGAGAAATATTAGCCCAAAGAGGGAGTAACAAAGAAAAAGTAAAAAAATTCCAACCGACCGACCCATGTTTTGGCACCTAAAGGGCAATACAACATCTTTCTTTTTAGGCCTTAATGTGTGTACAAGTCTCGCACACAGCAAATTACCTGTTGTCCCATCAAGATACACCCCCTAGTCTCGTGGAGTCTTTGGGTGAGGGAAATGTAAGATATTGGCCCGGTTGCATAGAACTTACCATTGATAGTAACTTTGCCATCAATGGCAACTACCATGGTAACAGGGCTCAACAGCCAATCAAAATCAAGGTTTCCATGGTAGTTACCATTGATGGCAAAGTTACCGTCAATGGTAAGTTTTGTGCAACTTGGCCCATTGACTTTTCCATATGGGGTGATTGGTGGAAAATGCAAAGCATTATATAAGGCATGTTGGTCATAAAACTGAAGGCTAATCCTGGTGAGCGACAACACCTGTTATTTGGTAAACGTCCGAAAGTTGGCAAATTCCCCACGAGAGCCCACTACGATGCGTCTTTAAACCAACAAGAGATACAATTCAACCGTCTACAAATGAACTAAACAAAAAGTGAGCTGAATATGAAAGTGCACTTTAATTGATAAGTCCTTTGGACAATAGTGACAAAGAGTATATACTACCCTAGGAATTCAGGTCAATCATGGATTTAAATAATGTATAAATAATGTATAAATAATAGTAATCAGCATCTCAACATGAAGTCATTTTATCAATATTCCTGCGATATTTAAAAAGGATATTTTGTCCTTCGCTCCTGGTATTGAAATATCATCCCCTGGTATGCTGGTCTTCTGTGCACTCATCAGAGTCTGTTGATCAATGATAACGGCAGAAAACAGAACATTCATATTTCTATGTCATCCAGTACAATATAATTGAAATACATAATACAATTACAATATAACATACAAATCCCTGATCTCTGAATGAACATAAAGACATATTTTGATCAATAAAATTAATTTTAATCAACATTCTGCATCAACAATATCTAAAAGTTGAACTTCAACAGTTATGTTTAATATATTTATTCTTTGCTGAAGAATTTTTTCAAATTAGGAGTTCAAGGTGTTGATTTTAAGGATAAGTTCTACAAATATAGTATTCAAGAACTATAAGGAGTGTAAGGCAAGAAATTAATTGAATTGTTTTCACAGGATGACACTGTCATAAATTTGTAACACTCACAAAATTTGCTAACTTTTGTGCAGAAGATTCTAATTTTACAGTAGTCTTGTGGTGGTATGCATGAATGAACCATAAATATTATTATGTAACATACTCGAGAAACAATGTAATCTTTCATGCCACTTCATTTCTTATTCCTTTCACAAAATCCTGGCCTTTCCTTATATCATCAGTAAAATGGCTGTCAATGCTTGGCATAATCGCATTCGATTCCATGAGCTTTTATGTGTCTCAAAGCCATATCCCTTCAGGCTCTGGCATGTCATTTTCAGGCACTTCTTTAATAAGATTTTCAATGACATTGGGCTTAAACTTTCTGTGCTTTAATTTAAACCAAAAATTGAATTATTCAAATAATGTATATTAATATAATATGAATGGACTGAATTATATTTCTCCTTAACTTGAGAAAAAGTATGAATATGCATTGAAAAAAAAAAATCATAACGATTTATGATATAAGATATTAAATCTAGTATTCAAGGAAACAAAATGATACCAAAAATTGAGGATTGCGCTCTTGAACGTTCACTGATAACTCTTAACAAATCAAGTAGCATTAGAGGGTTGAGAGTTGGGAGTCATTACCGTCACTGCTTCTTGTGTTCTCTTGTCCAGTTCATATAGAAAATTAGTTGCTGACAGAGGTTGCTAAAAAAGAACGAAAAGGAATAAAGATCAGTAACAAATATGATTTATTCATGTCATTTATTGCGCTTATTTTCATTTCCAAACATAAAAATAATAATAACACGATAACATGTGCAGGGCATGGTAATCACAAAGAACTAAACAAAGTTTAAATATATAAATCTACAACATGACTTGGATCCAACAATTAGGTACATTTTTCCATAATGTTCAAGAGATTGCATAATTCAATATTTTTTCTACCACCAAACACCTGAACAAAACAAGACAAGAAAAAAAGAAGAGATGTTTAGAAATGCAGAGGCCAAGATGGAAACCAAAGGCTCGTACGATGAAGGCCACTGGGAAAAGCACAAACTCACACGCACACACATCCGCATGATCTAACTGTGGTATTATAATGCATGCAGTATGAAAAAACCAAACTTTTGGAAATCCAAACCATTTTCCAGTAATTAGAAGCTCCAAAAGTTTTGTTCATCAAAGACAAGTACAGGTAAAATTATTAGCTGCACGCCATGAGACTCACAGCCTACGAGACCAAAATGCATTGCCATAGGGATTCTCTTGTGACATATATTTCATGATTCTGTCTTTCCTTCAATCTACTGCCAACCACAATGACATGGATGCTATCACTTACAGACACTGTCGATAAGTTACGTGGAGGAGCTTTCCTGAGGAATAGGGCATCGTATATTTCCTGACATGGCAGTTCATCTGAAGGAGCTATGGAGAACAGAGGAGAATCCCATCTATTCTTGGAGACGGGAGCCTCAAATCTCATCACCAAACCATCAAATCTAAAAACAAATAGAATACAGGGGTGATAGTGAGCAATAAAAAAAAAAGTTTTTTTGATTTCCCCTCGACCACGCCCCCCTTGAGTAAAAAAAAAAGAGAAGAGGATTCGCGGGGAAAAAATGGCATCTAACAACATTCCCCCCTTTCGAGTAAGAAAATTGGGAAAAAAATAGGGCAAAATAGGGAAGTTTAGAAAAAATAACAGGGAAATCGGTAACATCAGGATAAAAGAGGGAAGAAGAAAAAAAATCTGGTAAAAAAAATTGGGAAACCGATTTAAATAGGGTTTCTATCAGGCCTGAGAATAACACAAGGAATAATATTTTAATCATAGCAGTGAAACCACAGAAAGAATAAATATACCGGTAGAAGGGATATCACTATGGAAATTACCAGAACCATAACAAGAGTTCCCATTTCTTTCACCAGGGCTGGAGTCGCTGGACATATTGTCCCCTAACAGCTTGCTACAGATCCTAAAATGTTATTAACATGGGGCCACTGCATACAGATCCTAACATGGCAATGCAGATCCCTGTGAAAAAGAAAATAGTATCAAGCAACTAGAGCCCTGCTTTAATGCAATGA